ACTTGGACTTATCCCACACTACTCCACAGTATTTTCAGCAGAAATTATAGCCATTCACGAAGCAATTAAAACAGCTCTCTCAAAACCCGGAAAGTTTGCCATCTGTTCGGACTCACTTTCAGCCTTAAGTGCAATAGCGAATCCAGATAATCATAATTACTATCCTTTTATAATTATAACCATTTTAAACCACAAATTTCCCAAATTTTAAATGATTTGGATACCCAGGCACTCTAAAATTAAAGGCAATGCCGACTCTATAGCCAAAATCGCCACTTCTCTCCCTCTTATTTTCACACCGAACTACAATAGCTCCGACATTAAACACTTCCTCAAAATTAGTTTAGCTCAAAAACAATTCGAACGAACCAAATTCACTTCCAGTTGGTACAAAAATCTCAATCCAAAAGCAATATCTACATTTGAGTTCTTCAAAAATATTACTCAAGCCCAACTCAGTAGAGTAGATCAGATTACATTTTTTAGAATTCGCCTTGGTCACACAGCCATTACTCATCTCCACTACATAGACAAGCAACATATTAACCAATGCCGCTTATGTAATACACCTTCCGTTGACATGGAACATATTATTAGTACATGTCCTATCAGCTCGGCTTTAAGAAAATTTACATTTGGAAATACTGATCCAGCCTCACTACTTTCTTCACCTTCTATTGAGAATATAAAATTAATAATAAAATACCTTCACAAAGCTCAAATTTACGATCAAATTTAAATCAATTTCTCTAAGTTATGCCGCTACTTACTTAATATAAATAACATAACAAATATTGTTTAAGTAAATACCTTTAATTCATGCTTCTAAAAACTACATATGTATCCTCTTTTTTTTATTACTTGTACATATTCTTTCATTAATTGTAATAGCTTAAGATCCTGGTAGTCATAGCTATTCAAACCCTGTTAGCTGTAAGTTTTAACTTTAAGCTAGCATTAAATAAATAAATAAATAAATAAAAAGCTAGAATTATTCACATTTCTAGTATGTTTATTTTTAAAATCGAACAACGGATTCTTACCAAATTTTAGACTTTACTTTCCGAATTATTTAAAAAGAATTTTTGCTTGACAATCTGAAGAAGATTCGAACCCTATACCTACCTTATATTTCGCCAAGTGTGTCCACTTGTGACTTGGGGCACATTTCGCGCGCCATTTTGTTTTGGCATTTAGCATTAATGTGTTGCTTCTGTTTGTTGTCACTGTTGCTGTTTCTATTGCTGCTGTTGTTGTTGTTGTTGCTATTACTGTTACTGTTGCAACTTTGCATCATTGTATCATGTATCATTGACACTCTGCACTTCGTCCACTTGAGCATTGAACGTGAAGCGTTGTTGCTGCTCTTGTGTTGCGTTGCTCGCTCACCTTTAATTAAAACATTGGCAATTGATTTAACTGAAGAGGCTGCTGCGTCGTTTGTCCCCAGTGCCTAGACCCGCCCCCTCTTTCGTGTTTCCTGTCGCTTGTCGCTTGTCACTTGTCGTTTGTCGTCCGTTGTCGTCCGTTGTCGTCCGTTGTCTTCTTTGTCGCCTCATGCAATCGTTCGCCGGGGCAGGTGCTTAATTCTATTAGCGCGTTTTGCAAATGGCAAATAGTTGGCTAAGAGGCGTGGGAGGTAATCATTGGCAGTTGATAAATTGCGCCATCAGTTTGGCAATGAAGTGGAAATTGAAAAACAGATAGGGGGGTGGGAATTACTGCAATTGCATCACAAAGCTGTTGATCAGTTGTCCCTATTTTAGGTTGTAAAGGCTTATTGGTCTAAATATTGATTTTTAAAAGATTTCTTTTTATTTTATTCTTTGATTTTATTTGGTTGGAAAACAAAAATTTATTGTGACATCCTCTACTTATTTTATATTACATTGTTGAAATAAAATTGTGCGATTTATAACTAGCAAGCATATGTAACTACGATATAATTTAAATTCTGATTGGAGTCGCCATTAAAATACATTATTTGTCAGCACTCCCACAGAGAATAAAGTTCAAATGTGCAAGGATATAGGATTTGTGCAAAGTGAAAAATGAAACTGGCAGAAGAAGAGTCGATTGAGCCATGTCTGTCCATCTGACCATAGATCTCAGTAGATCTCAGAAACTATTAGAAGCTAGAGATATAACATTTTGTACACAGATGTCTTGATTGTTTTTTGCAGTACAAGTTTATTCAAAATTTTCCGCCTTCCCTTCAGTCTTCCACTATTTGTGAGCTTTCATAGCTCCAGTAATTCTTAACTTTTGTTGGCGCTTATGTGTCCTTAGCCATAAATGTAATTTCTAACTCAACTTAATCAGCAGCTTTTGATGTTGTTGCTCCTTTGGCTTAGTTCTGTTTATTTTTTTTTATTTATGTAATTATTATGGTACATAAATTTGCAAGTCGGGGAACCACACTTTAGCTTTGCCACTTCTTTCTAATTAGGTTTGAATGCATATATTTACCATAGCGGTCAGACGTTTTTCATGTTTTTCAAGAGCTTGTCACGACTGTAAATTGCAGTGCTACGTCGATATCGATTTGCCGCCTTGTAAAATTTTTATAAATTGGCAGCAAAAATGCATTAATATTGTGGGAGGCTAATGAGCCAATGATGATGCTATTCAGGAAGAGGAAAAACGAAAAGGAGTGCAGTGCACCCGCGTCTGGGGTTGCAGATAGCAGAGCTGTTATCATTTGCTATTATCTTTAAAAAGGATTTCGCGTAAGAGCTCGTTAAAGTTATTGCTCGTTTAGTTTCGCAAATTTTTACTGAAAAACCTTAAGGAAAAGCTGTGAGATAAAACACAATATTGTCCTTTATTGGGCTTAGAAGAATGTAGATACCTCTTATACTTTCCGAGATACTTGCGGTCAGGCGGGTTATCCTTAGAGTACAGGGTAAAAAAATGTGGTAGGAAACTGAAAAGAAGTACGTAATGTTAGAGTGTAGTGTGGCCCGGCATTTAAATATAAAGAGAGCTACAAAAGTTATCGGATATCAATAGCAATTGTGGAATGCGGAGTTTATTGATTTTGAAGTCTATTTTATTATTATTTAATAAGTTCTTACGTCTACGTCTAGGTCACTCCAACTTAGCCCATAGTCACCTTGTCACTAGAACACCGGCTCCAACCTGCAGCTTGTGCAACTCCAACACCCCACTATTAATCCTACACCTTCTCACCTCATGCCCAACTCTGAGCTCTCTGCAGGAAAATACTCCTCCACCTTCGCCCTCAACAACCCTGATAGAGACAAAATAATAATAAATTTCATCACTTACTTAAAAAAATCAAATACTTATCACCTCATAGTCCATATTAAAAAAATATTAAAAATTAAAAATAAATAATAGTAACGAATACAACCTGTTACTTTATTGTTATCATATTTTTGTAGTATACTGTAAATACTTTATTAGGTAATTTTTAGCAATAATTACATGGTTATGTAATACTAGCTTAAGGCCACGGAGCTATAGCTTGTTCTTACGGTTCGTATGTCGATTTCAAATCGCATAGGAACATTTCATAAATTAAAAAATAAATAATAATTATTAACAATAACTTAAATAAAACTTATGGCATAAGTGTACCAAATCAACTTAACTTATTTAAAATTCATAAAAATCTGTGAACAAGGTCGAACAGATGTGGCCTCTTCATCATCCTCCTCCCAGTCGATCCTCCATTCTTGCTCCAAAATCGACTCGTCGTATCCTGCTGATCCAGAATATATATATACATATACTTCTACATTTCATGTACAGAGTATACAAAATTATCGTGTTGCTGGTTTCCGATCATTCGTCACATACTTCAGATTTTGCATTTTAGCATATGTAAGCGATTTGGCCATCGTTCAAACTAATAAAACTGCAATAAATAACAAGAAAGGAATGCTAAAGTCGAGCAGGCTCAACTCTTTAATACCCTGTACCGCCCCACAAAAAAAGAAATTAAATTAATCAATTAATTTAATTAATTAACTAAATTAAATATAAACGTGGGGAGTGGGGAGGTGGATCAGAAAAAATGAACAAACTCGTCCTTTCTCGGGCTCAGGAGAATCTAGATACCAACTTTGTTTATTCTAGCTCTTATAGACAGACGGACATGGCTATATCCATTTGTCTTGTCATCCTGATCAAGAATATATATACATACTTTGTGGGGTCTGCCACGCCTCCTTCTGTGTGCTCCATGTACACTCGCACAAAACTAATATACCCTTTTACCCTTTGGGTACAGGGTTCCAGCTTACGTAAAGGGTGCATGTCCATTGCGTTTGTGTCTGTGTGTGAGTAAGTGAGCAGAACTGAGTTGAGCCAATAACAGCTGTTGGCAGAGTAAATGGCTAAATTAAACGGATGTAATTGGTAAAATCCAAGAATTACGAGAGTTATGGAAACTCACTTATAGCGGGGAAGTGGGGGATGCATAAAAAACGACGCAGACCTGTAATTTCTTGGACTTAGACAGCCCGCATACCATGTTTAGTGGATCTACAATATCTATACGAGTATGTCTATACGTCCGAAGACACTGCCTCGTTCATACAAAAAGCGAGCATACTTTATAAGTTCAGCATTTTTCCTTACCATGCCAGCCCAATCTTTTCGTTCCTAGATCCTAACCTTAATTCGATTAGCGTTGCCTTAAGCGTGAGGAGCCAGTGATGGGCTCTGGTAGTGCTTTTATTTGCCAGCCAGCTAGTCAGCCATCCCGCCTGCCTGCCAGAAATGTGTGTCTGTGGGAGTGTGTCTCCTGGCCACATTCCCGTAATCAACACGCCGCAAATATGTTATGTAAACATTTGGCGCAAAAATTGTCAATTACGTTTCGCACGCAATGTTTTTCCTTCTCCCGCTCCCGCTCCTGCTCCCTCTCTCCCTTCCCCTCACTGCTCGTATTTCTTCGCTGTGCCACATGACATTTTGTGGTGGCCTCCATTGGAATGGGCATTTTTCGATGGGCGGCTCGTTAGCGATACTTAGAACCACCACCAGCACCACCGCCAACACCACCACCATCACCACCAGCATTCACACGCACAATCGCACAGTAATGGTTACAAAAACAACGACCATGTTGAGCCTCCGTTGCTGTTGTTGTTGTTGCTGTTGATGTTGTTGCTGTTGATGTTGATATTGATATTTATGTGCGCCCAACAACCTAATCTAATTAAAGTTGGTAAGTTATTTGCCACATGTCGGCGCGTCAAGCGCCATTTGCCCATTGTTGTTGTTGTTGTTGCTGTTGTTGCTGTTGTTATTGCTGCTGCCCTTGCTGTTCGCTTTTGCCGGCGCTTTCATTGTTTTCGCATTACATACTATTGTTTTTATGCGATGTTTTTTCCCTGTCATATACACACACAGTACGATACTTCCAGTATCCGTAGCACATCCCTGTATTCCTACGCCCCTCTCCTCATCCCATTCTGTGGCGCACGCTGCGTATGCTTGTTGATTTCGTTATTTTATTGGCAGCTTCCAATTCTGATGAAATCAAAGTAGGCCGCAAATTAACTTTATGCCACATAATCATAACACTCAGCACAACTTAACGTGTGTGCGTATGTGTGTGTGTGTGTGTGTGTGTGTGTGTGTGCGCGCGCCTATATGTGTACGTATGTATATATGTTCGTCAGTGTGGCTGCGTAATGAGCTTATGGCTGTAATTTTTGCTCCCTCTGCTTGACAATTATGAAAATTTTGGCCAACTATGCAGTAGAAAGGGAGCCGACAATGGCTCTAACATAAATCTCATTACGAAAAGGTGCGGATGTTTGCCGACTCCCGAATATATATTTTTAAAATTTCACGCTGGCTTTCCTGGAGTGCTGAAAAATAAAGGTCTCTTTCAATTATTTTTGGAATTTTCATCGTCATCGGCAATGTTTTTGTTTTCATTTTTTTTATTTTGATTGCATTATTTCTTCTAGTCGCTGATATTTGAGTAAAGCTTGTTGATTTTTCAACGCATATGTAGCTGTGTTGTTATTTAAGCAATTTGCATAAAAACTATCAAATATTCTATTTAGAGTCCCGTTGGTGCTTGCCATGAAATAAAAAAAACATTACTTTATTAACTTAATCTCGGTAGTTAATTTCCAGATTCTGACTAATGTGATATTTGTATAAGAATTATAATTAACTAAATGGCGTAAAGTTAAATTGAAAACAATAATATAAGTGACAATTAATGTAATTGGATAAATTTGTCGTCGAAAACATGAATAGATAGGAGAGAATATTACGATCGAGAAAGCCCGACAGTGAAATACCCTGTACCCCAAACAAACTTCCTTCAAGTCTGGGGCAGATTGTGGGTGTAATACTGGATTAAAATGGTTTCGCTAATAACTTTGTTTACAATAGACAGATCGATGATGAATTTTAAAACAAAGGTTTCGACTTATTTTTAAATTATGTTTATGTAGCGTCTGAATTGTAGACAGTCTTGACGAAATTCTATAGCAGGAGGAGAAAAATAATAGACTCGTGTCGGAGATGCTCCCTCCTGCCTGTTTCATACTTTGCAAGAACCTACAATATCTATCTACAGTATCTATCTACAGTACATATCTAGACTACTTATCTACAGTACCTATTTACGCTTCGCAAACAAATATTCCTTTCTTTAAAATGCTTCGGAAATGAAATCACCTACTGAAAATGTCATGCTCTTAAAGATTTGTATTTTAAAAAGTGAGCAAACTTTTTTAGCCAACAGAGCTAATGATCAAAATAATTATTGCACAGTAAACAGCCTACAAATTAAAGAAGCTTGTCTTTAGTGCTTGATTGATACTTGTACGGATCGGCCTATAATTACGGCCCAGCAGTACAGTCATGTGCAGAGGTATGACTCGCCTTTAATGATGTTTGCCAGAGCCACTGTCGCGGTAATTGAATTCGGGAGAGGATTCGCGCAGGCGTGCTCATAATTGCCAGCAATCGAAGTGCCCTCGGATACCAATGCTATATAATTGACTAGAACGGAGGGAGCGGAAGGCCGATGAGCAGCAAAAAGGGGACGAGGACCACATGATGCACATGGAGCACACAATGGTTATGCAATTTGTGTGGCATTTTTGCTCAGCGCTGGCGGGCCAATTGGTTGCGATGCACGTCGGTGGCAACAGTACGAATATTGGTCAGATTTACTGCCAAACCTATTTATGGGCTTAGCTGCACTCCAATTCACAGGCACATGCCCGACGGCTAGCTGCAAAAATTGAATTTGCATTTAACGCTAGTTGCTTTTGTGAGGAATGCGAGGAAAACAAAGTGTGTGGGAAACGCACATTCTTTTTGCTGCCCATTTGCCGAGTAATAATTATCCCCGCATAGCCAGTCTTGGTCAAATTCCCACGGACCGAGTGGTCAGTTCACTTCACGGAAAGGTAGAGGGGGCTGTTGTTTTCATACCTTGTACCCGTTGGGTAAAAAGGGTATCCTAGGTTTGTGCAAAGTACTATATGTTACAGGCAGAAGGAAGTTTCTATGACCCCATTTAGTAAATTCTTAATCTTAAATGTGAAGATATGAAGTCATCTAGACGAGTCTGTCCGTCTGAACGCCTGGATTTCGGTAGCGGATCATCGCACATTAACCAAACTTGGAATATAGACGCTCCTGGCCTCAGCTACACGAGATTATTTTAATTTTTTGATTTTCCCTACCCTCTCCTCGCTACAGAATTTCGTCAAACCAAATGTAATTTATATATAAGTATCTACTTTTGTTTTAAATTTGATCCAAATCGGTCAACCCTCAGAAAAGTTGTTAGCGAATGAATTTCACTCCAGTACTACGCCCACAAACTGCAGCATCAAGTTTGCTCTTCTTTTTGTTTTGGATTCTACAATGGGAGCATGTAACTCAGTTCCGGAAGTTGGTTCGGGTGCAGGGTATTTCACTGTCCGGCTTCTCTCTTATTGATTTGTACGTTCGCAGCACATAAAGCTGTAACAACATACGAGCTGCCACGACAAGAAGGTGTTTTGTTTCAATAACATGTGTAGGATCGCTTGTAACTCCAAAATTCGACTACTTGACTTACTATACGTCTTTTATGCGAACATAAATTCAATTCTCACTTGAAATTTTGGGTCATGGGCCATGAAGAAATAACGTCCTTCTACTTTCTACTCGAATGCTTTATTATAATTAGAGAAAAGGACATCTCCGACGCAAAAAGTATATATGATTTTAAAAATATGTCCTTCTGTCTATGGCTGAAGATTGTATGGACCCAGAGTATTTCCAAGTCAGACTTGCTCGAGTGCAGCATTCTCTCTTGTTTCCCTTCGGGTAAATAAAAAACTAAGATTTCTATATTTCTTTCGAGCATCGAGCACTCGGCCATAGATCGTGGTGGTGCAGGAACCTCGATTTCTTATTCTGAGTTCAAAGATGCGACTTAAAAGACATGCTTTTGGTTTTATTGACAATTCGTTAGCATAACTAGTACTACTATGTGTGATCGAAACAGCTTTTGGGATAGTGGGCACCCAGAAAAGTCTGGCAGGTGGCACAGTAGTGGCTTGTTGTCCGACAGCTATCGATGAGATAGGGACAGATGCAGGCACAGCAGCACCAACTGCAAAATTAGAAAGAAGAAGATCAACTCTGATATATATAATATTTATATTATATTTTTCCTTGTCTACACACCCAAGGGAACAGAGCCACAGCGCCCAAGAATGGGTGCGTGAGTTGGGCGAGCGCTGCAGTCGGGTGAGTCCTTGCTGGCCACAGGCGGGACAGACAATGGTGCTGGGATGTATGCCCAGCTTGGGTTGTGGGGCCAATGAAAAAAATGCTGCAAAGAGGATGTATAGAAACAAAGCGCATACGAAATAATGATGAGGAATTTTTATGTTAATTTAAAGAAAAAAGATATTCGGACATGTTATATTATTTTGATAAAATGCTGTTGCTTTCAAGTCCCTTCAAATCCTTCGGCCATTTGGTAATATAAAGAATTTTTTTCGTTCATAGTATAGTCCAAAGGTGCTGGACTCTACTCAACTCATTCTCCGAGAGCCGAGGCCACTCCTAAGCGGTATACCTATACCTGTGAATAGCTTGGGAAAAATGTTCAAGGGCAAAGCAACTGATTAAAATGGGATAGTCATCGAATTATGTATGCTTATGTGTTTTAGTAGCTTTGAAAGTATCTGATTATTTACATCTATTGTGGCTATAAGTACATAAAATTTAGCACCTAATAAGAAACAGAAAGCCACGACTTCCTCCCTTTGATTAAAGGTGACAAAGATGTATAAATCCATTTAAATTAAGTTGGGAGGATCATAAAAATAGAGGATTAAAATCTGTTCCTTTTACCGCAAATGAGTGAATATGTCAAATTTCTGGCATGCTTGTAACTTACTGTCCATGTAGGTCTACCTCTTGATCATGAAGGGAGTGGGAAGTAATATCTTACTAATGTTGCAAATACTTTCACACATTGGAATCGACCCTGTATGGGGAGGGTTTCGACTCCAAATGGGTCCTTGCATTCGCTTTTGACCATCTACACCTGTGAAGCACTTGACTGCTACTTACTGCGCACCTGGGGCATTGGTACACGCCCGAACATGTGCTGCGACGGCGCATCCTGCACATCGTGGACATCGTGGACATCCTGTGCCATCAGCGGCAGCGGCTGCAATCGCACAGTGTTTTCATTGTTTAACGTCATCGAGGGCTGCTCGGCGCCGAGCACGTAGGGTAGTCCAGAGCGAAAATGCTGCGGCTCGGCAAAGAAGGTGCGTCGTCGATCGGCGTGGGCGAAATTGAAGGTGGCGTAGTGGGGCGCACTGGCCATGGCATCGTCGTAGGTGGGCGGCAGAGCGGCCAGCTGTTGAACATCGTCTGTGGAGGTCGGCCCCAATATGGCACTGCGCACACTGAGCTCTGGGTCTTGGCCCAAAGGATCTTGGCCCTGAAAGAGCATGCGATGTTTTTCGTCAGCCATGCTCCTCAGTGTATAGCAGCTATCGAGCGTTTGACCACGCCGGAGAAAGTATGGCGCTTTTATGCATCGAGCAGTGACGCCACATAATCGTGTGAGAAACAGCTGTGGATTACGCGCTGGGACATTGTTAAGTCCAGCGATAAGCCCCCAGAGCTATTTGCAATTAATGGCAATTGAAATTGTGCATAGCTGAGCTCTTGAGTGACTGCCTGCATGGCTGAGCGACTGAATCACCAAGCAGCATGGTCACGTACGCCAAACACCACAACCAGCTGCCAGCCACCAGCCACCAGCTAACAGCCTCCAATAACAACAACAATAACAGCAACACAAGCAATGGTAAGAGCGTGGGCAAGTGCAGAGGCAGCAGCTCCAGCCAGCCCGCCAGCCAGCCAGCCATATTGTCAGCTTCCGTTTCATTTCCGGCACTTTGCTCTTCCAGTGCTCATAACTTTTGCAATATATTTCTGCGTTTGTTTCAACCAACCAGTCAACCAGCCAAATAAGCCGTCCGACAATCCGGGAGTCGCGCCAGCAGACACGCCCACAACATGCGCTTCTGCATTTCCCATAACTCTAGAAGTGGACGCGTGTTATTATAACTGTCACAGATATGCCTCCCTCTCTATTCACAATTTATTAATAACAAGAACGAAATCATAGGGTCGTGCGGTCCAGACTATAAAAAACGGTATCCAATACTAAACACCACCAAATGTTACAATTAGTTTAAAAACAAATTAAGTTTTGTTCACGGATTCAATGTCCAGTACAACAGTTGCTGGCAGAGCACGGACAGAGATTACATTTATATCTAATCCATCATTTATCGCACCATACATGAGGACATACTCATAGTATATGCATGAACAAAATATAGTTTAAATTTTAAATGAAATTCGGAAATAAAAGTATACAAAATTGGGTTAGGTTATAAAAATATACAATAAATATATGTATACTCGTATATTGACCGTTTCCGGACATAATTAAACTTTTTTACCAAGTTCGGGAATTCTTACTGAGATTTTCGCGATAGTGCAATGACTATATCCATTCATATCAGTGCAATGATACTGAACAAAAAAAAAAAAGGTAACTATACTCCAAGTAGGTGGTGGAGTTTTAGAGCTAATTTCCATAGCAACTGCTTACATAGATTGTGTGCGATTGCAGCAGCAACAATAAAAGCCGGTGGTAGAGCATCCTCAGAGATTTTGTTTAAAGCTACAAATATTGACTAATATTACAATTTATATTTAAGATCTAAAAATGAGGCGACAGAGGCTTAATAGAAGTAAAGTTAAAAGTAAAGTTACAGAAAAGTTAAGAGTGCAGAAGATATAACTTTTACATACTTGTATACGAAAGCCTCCTGAAGTACGATGGCAAACGAAGATTGAGATCACGAAAAGCAAATACGACCAATTTTATGCGATTCTGAGACATTCTTTATAGTTGAAAATTGAGTAACGGTATGGAAAAAGTATTTCAGTATATTCTACTAAGACACATTGTCGAGCCTGTAATGGAGGCCTCCATCGAAGGTCTTTATGTATAGCGCTTGAGCAATGGATAACAAAACATGGCACTTCATCAAGTTCATCATCATCCTTCAGACGCATGTATTGTGGGTGATTTGATTTCATTTTCAAGTTTATTTATTTTATTCTGATACACCCCCTTCCTTTTTGGTGGGAGGTACAGGGTATTTAAGAGTTGAGCTTGCTCGACTTTAGCATTCTTTTCTTGTTATTAGCTTTCGTCCTATAGTACTTATTTTGATCGATATACTTTTTTCGCCAAGATGACTGCTTAAATCGCAACACTCGGTGAATCTTCGTTAATTTCAAGGCATATTTACTACTCTGTTGAAGATTCCTATAGTGTATGACATACTTATGTTTTGGTCTTAAATCAGCAATAAACTTTTGAGTCGTAAACGAGGAAGTTGGTTTTTGATTGCTTGGACAAAATGGTAAATCATTATGTAAATCGTAAATGTGGATAGTCTAAATTAACTTTAAGAATATAACCAATTTCAGAAGTCTGTGAAGCATCATAAATATTTAATGCTTGTATTTCATCCTGACTCATCTATTCAAAATTAACATACGGAAGAGGTTGAGACATTCCACAACCATATTCATTATTAGCATTTAAATACCTTAAATATAGGGAAAGTTTGGTGACATCATGTGCCAACCCGCCTTTACCATCGTATACTTGTGGGAGGATTGCCCATACGTCATTACCCGGGCATTCCCACATACATATATGTATAAAAACTAAAACTATATAAAACTAAAAAGTGTCTTTAGCAACAACTTAATCTAAGTAATGCAATAAGGCAGCAATATCGAATAGTCCAAAGCAGAACTCTTTCTGATTCAACCTGCTGACTATAACTCCTTTAGAGCTGACCTCTACTTTTTCAATTATTTGTATTGTATTTTCTACTTATGAGATTCAAATAGTTTTTCAAATCTTATATTAATTTCTCCCGAGTTTGAGATTCTACATTTGCAGTGATTAGGAGTGTTAAGGTCATTGTACGCTATGTAATATAAAGGCAATACCAGGCCATATATAATTTGTTTGTTTTTGTGATTGATAGTATGAACTCGTATATTTTGGACCCAATCACATTATGCGTAGTGGACTTTAACCCTTTTAGTCGGTCCGAATGTTCTGCATCTTTACTCCATCAGCATATAGTAATGTTTCAGTTTTAACCGATAGTCCAAGCCCATTTGTTTCAATCCGCTTGACAAAAAGCGCAGCTCACACATCCTCGCACTCCCAAAACAATCAAAGCAAAAAAGTGCACTGGTCGCTACGTTAGTAGTTAACGTTAACGTGCTCTTAAGAGTCAGTCACTCAGTCAGTCGGATTGTTGGATTGTTGGATGGGCGATGGCTGATGGGTGTCCTAGTCGGAATCATAAAAAATGCAATAACCCACGCAGAGACTCAGGCTGAGTCCGAGGTCGCGGGTCATGTGGGCGATTTATTTGCGGATTTTGTTTTGCGTTGCATTTGTGCACAATTTTTTAATCTATTTGCCCAACGCCCTCCACTCACACAAACAGACAATGCACTGATTAAAGTTTCGAAAACTTTGCATTTAATCAGCACGTTTTCATTACCTTTACGCATTCATGCAAATTTATGCTGCGGCTAACTAAAAAGGCGAACATAAAAATTAACGCATATAAATAACTCATTTGCGTGCACTTACTACATAAATACGCGCATGTGCCTGCCTATCTCTATCGATACCCTATGTTTAATGTGTGTTACAGACAGTGGAAAGCATCTCTGATCAGCCTTGTCTTAGTTCGTCCGTTAGTCGGGATTAAGGCTCGGCTTCCGGACATTGCTATGTCAGCCCTCAATGGCCAAACTTGTTAGCTAGACTCTCCAAACACGAGCTTCTTTATATTTTTGAATTAGACACAGATTAGTCAGGCTTATGCATTTTAAAATTATTGCAGTCCTTGTTGCTCTTCACAATCATAAGGATATAACAATAAGGCGTCAAACAATCTTTAAAATCTACGGGTAAATGCTTAAATTACTCGCACGAGAATTCGACCTTATTATATCCTGTACCCGTAGGGAAAAAGAGCATATTTAAGTAAGTATTTAATAAGCAAAGGAAGTATATCCGACCCCATAAAATACAAGTATATGGATTCTTAATCAGCATAAACAGCAGAAACTATTTAGACATGCCCGCCCGTCTGTCTGTTTGTCTGGACTATACTTGGTATGCAGACACTCCCAGTCCAGGCTACACCAGCTTACTTAAATTTTTTTATTTTCCCCCTCCCCCAAGGCTGTCCGCATGCTCCCTTGTTTGTTATTAGAAAGCTCAAAGTTCTTGCCTGGAACATCAATCGAATGAGATCCCATGTTATATATTATATACAGGTATACAATCATGGTCCGCATGACGAAACGAATCGACATAGACATGGACGTCCGTCCGTCTGTCTAACCGTAAAAGCTGGTTTTAAAATATTTTTAAAATGCCGCACTATAATAAAAAGAATTAATATAAAAATCGGCTGACTATATCTTGTAGCTTCCGTAGTCAAGATAGGCTGTACAAAAGCAAATCTTAGTTCTAACAAGTGAAAAAGCTTATGTTAGGTGCCCGACGTTGAAACAATCTGTGCCTATGCGTAAAATAACTATATAAATTTTAAAACATACTATTTTTGAATTCATTTCAAATGAAGCTTCGGGACCATCCAAATAAACTTGCACTGAATTTAACTTGGCAGACTGGCCTTACACGACTCCGGCGAATACCACCCAGCAATAAGAGTTGGACTGTAATTTCAATAATTAATTGTAATTAATTAAATAACTATATTATATTAAGATTTGACTCTCCGAGAGAGAAGATTCGATGAATAAAGAAAAATGCCCAAATAAAAAAAAAGTAGTTGATACTCATGTAAGGCATCTAAGAGCAACATTTTGTGTCTCTAGCTCTTGAAGTCTCTTGGCTAAATCGACTCGTCTTGCCATGGCGATCAAAAATATATATACTTGCTTTCTTCTGCATGTTACATTATTCCTTTTCCGTAAACCTAATAAGCTCTAGTATCTTTCAGGTACAGAATATAAAAATTCACAACGGGCTGTGGTGGGGGACGGGGGTCGTTCAAATCAAAACTAGACTTGATGTAATGAACGTAAATGAGTATGTATGAGGGTATAATTAGGGTGATGGAATATTTAAAATGTTCTCGAGAAGTGCTATCATTCAGCAGCCACATAATAGCTCAAAGCTCACACACACACGCACAAACATAAAGCGCATGAATCGCTTATCAACATGTTGCCAACTGGTAAATTGACGTCGGTTATACAACTAATTAAGCCCTTTTCCTTGGCTGCCGCTCTGATATTTTATTGAATACCACATTGTAGTATTGCCACAAGTATGTGTGTGTGTGGTGGTGGGGGGGGGGTTGTGTGGGTCTG